GCAAAGGTGGGGACATTGACAAGATTTTGTTGTTTCATCATCTCCGGGGGGGGGGGGGGGATACAACAGGGCACGTGTGCAATAAACGCAGGACATGGACATTACATTACCGTTAACCTAGACCAGATTAGATAATCAAACTCGCAAGTCTTCTAGTGAAAAAGACGCAATTAATATCAGAGAGAACGTTGGGCGGTTAAACCGGGCGATCAATACTTGGGTTAGGACTCGTTTTTTAACACAGCGAGAAATACTGATCTTATATTTGTGTCTAATTTAAAACGTTATATATTATCAAACCAGTATACTTGCATTGGAAGTAAGTAAATTCATTTTCAACTGAAAACGCTGCATGAACTTAACACATCGGAGACTGTATTGTTAAAAGCCCTGATAGTAGAAAGAGGCGACGGTACTCGTGATTTTGCCAGGCGTTTTTAACTGCGAATTTTCTCATAATGTAATTCGCCTACACTTGTAGTTGTAGGTTTACAACACGAGGAAAAGTTTGAAATTAATATTAAAAAGCGTTCGGTTATATTAAATAAGGATCACACAATTTTAACCTTACGTAAGTGGAGCCAGCATACAGGCAAACATCAACCATACGAAGCATACCAACATACAAATACAAGCAAACATCATAATCAAGCACATAGCCTTATGGAAACTAAAATTAATATTGCATTTATGAACTGTAGCTGAAGTATTAAATAAATTAATATTGGTATTCGCTTTCGTCATTAGGACGCCATTAAATTCCATGTGTCGGCAGTGATGAGGTGGGTTATATAACATACATAGCAAATTATAAGTATATATGAAATTGTGCGTTTTTCTTCTACATTCCTCAAAAATTCATTAAAAACGTATTCAAATGCAAGGGGAACCAGCTAATCATCAAATAGTACCAACTAAAACCATCTGCTATAAACCAGCTAATCATCAAATAGTACCAACTAAAACCATCTGCTATACTTAAAACGTTCAAATAATAACTACCATTCTTTTTTTAATGTTTGGTTTAGTGTTCAGTCTGCACATAAAATTGTTTTCTTAACACAGTCTAATTGCTAGACTTAATCATAAGCGTGATGGGCGGCTAATCGATGATGGCAGTACAAAAATGTATCTATAAGCAGACGACCAGTTAAGAATTTAACTAAATATTTGATAACTGGATTTGGGTCAACATTTGATGGTGAAAATTAATATAAGTATACAACTAGAGTTATTATTAGAAGCTTAAGGATATATTTCATATAAAAACGTGAATAACTTAGTTAATATGCTTATCTTAACTTAATGTTTCTCCTTTAAATAAATAATACCTGTTTGTGAATGTATTTTGTTATCTTTTGTTCAAGAATCCAATATCTAATTGTTGCATTTTTTTAAAGATTTGTAATTTTGCTCTTTCACCTATTAAATATAATCTCTGAGCCAGAATAAAAATACAGTACTTATTATCAATGTTTTCTTTCCATTTCGGACTTTATAAACTTGCATTTCTCAGTAAAACTTAACTGTACAAGTGTTGAGTTGTTAAAACTACAGAACAGAGGGATGAAACACATCCACAACGCCCAACACATGGTTGAGTGCCCATTTACTGAAATTCATTGGACCAAGACACACAATGACAAAGCAACTGACTAGCTAATAATATGTTGCATGGAGCTGGGTTTTCAACAACTGTTATAGCAAGCCCAAATATAACATGAAGCTGCCAGACAGAAGCATGTACTGGTAAACATCTGTGATAACGACAATCAAAGAAGATACCATAAATAAAATATGTATACCCATTAGGATCACTAAATCAAGCTTATATTCCCTTTTTTTTCTTCTTTAAATTATTAATATTGTTTTGCCACCAACCAAAAAAAATACATTAAAAATTATAATTATGGATAGATTATATAAAAAAACATTTCAAAGATAATCTTTTTCAAAAACTCAGCATTGCTTAACTTTTTTTTTTTTTTTTTTTAAAAACCCTCTTCTAAGAGTGATTACTAATTACAGTATATAAATTAACTATACTAGAAATCTTTAAAAGATCAAAAGAAAAAAAATATGACTATATTAAAAAAGGTGGGGGGAGGAGCAGGAAACTTATAAAATATGACTGACTTAGAAACCATTACTTCAATAAAAACCATCTTCTAAGAGTGATTACTAATTACAGTATATAAATTAACTATACTAGAAATCTTTAAAAGATCAAAAGAAAAAAAATATGACTATATTAAAAAGGGTGGGGGGAGGAGCAGGAAGCTTATAAAATATGACTGACTTAGAAACCATTACTTCATCCTAAGTGACATTGCAGTAAATTAACTCCCCAAGAAATTTTAATAAATTACACATTACTATTACATCCCTTCTATGGGCATTATTAAAAACAAAACAAAAACAGGAAAAAAATATTCTACATTTTAAAAAGTAGTATTAAAAGCATTGTTTTATTGGATGAAAGTTTTCATAACTTATCTAAATAAATTGCTTGCAACCAGATTGACTTTTTCAAAAATGTAACACAATTTATAAAAGTTACAGCACTTTAAAAATTAAAACTGTAGGCCTCAATTGTTTTATTATTCTAAACTTATATTATAATATATTACCTGATAAATCATAAATTTATCTTCCTTGCCCTAAATATTATCAGAATTATCCTTTTTTTTCAATTAATTCTCTTTATTCTAATCTCAAACCTGTAATTGATTGTGCACTCCGTTTAACTTTTTAAACTCCTATTTTCAAAGCAGAAAATATTAAATCTACTTAATTGTAACTGATATTTCTGCTGAATAAAAGAACTATAACAACAAATCGAATATAGTAGTTTGAATAACGCAGTATTACGTTTATAAAAATTACAAATAAACTATTTACATGACGAGTTTACTAGGCATAAACAAAACATCTATACAAAATATAAATAAAATTGAGATAAGTCTCTAACTATATCCATAACCATATGAGTTTTTTTGTTACTGTAATTTAATTTCAGAAATGACTTGGAAATTCTTCCTGTTATGTATAATGTAGTATTCATAATCTTTTATTATATTTTTTTGCATTTAATTTATTTAGTTTAAAAACTAAACAACATAGCATTCATCATAGTATATTGATTATAGGCTTTTAGATGGTGTTCTAAACCTCACGCCCATGCTGACGGTATCATTTATTTCAAATATAGTAACTTTGAAACAGGTATTTGAACAAAAATATTGTTCTGCTACACTGGCAGGTTTCAGCTGTTAAAATTTATGAAACTTTATAGTAAACTAATCCATTTGGGGCAAGGTTTTATTTTGATATTACCCTTTTATAATTAATATTTAAAAAATAATGAACTCAAAACAACTTAAGTTGCATAATATTTTATAAAATGATAATTGCTGTTGTATTAGTCTTAAGTTACTAATTAATTTTTTCTTGAGTAAGCCTAGGCTAGGGCATAGATTATAATTTGTATTTTTACTTAAATGTTTTTATAAATTGGAGACAAATATCCTTATGGATAGTATTATTATGAAAGATGAACTAAATAAAAAACAAGTAAATTCTCTAATTCAAACTACTTTCTTAATTTTAATGAGTATTTATCATGTGTCTGTATTAATAAATAATATGTAGACCTACATTTTTAATGTAAAAAATTTAGATAAAGATAATTAGCTAATATTTTGCAACTCAGCCATTTTAAAAATAAATACTTACTGGTTACATTCTTATATATAAAATTTTTTGTAATAGTAAAGATGGATAGGCCCGTGGTCCAACAAAATTATTTCACTTAACAGATTAAGTTAAAGTTAATATTGCATTGGCTACTCAATATTCTTGCGTCATTATTAACATTTGTTATTGTTAACTTAAGATCATTTTTAAGCTCTAAATAATGATTAATGATGACTTTAACTTTAAACTAAAACAGATTTAGATAAAGCTTAGGCATCTTTATTTAGATTTAATTTGCACACTGTGTTAGAAGTTAAATTGTATCCCAATAAAAAGATATAGGCCTAGAGAACATTCTATTTCTGATTGGAAAAGGATTTTCCTTTGTGTTTAGCCCACACCCCCAGCTCCCACACAAGCAGGCTTACACCTTTTGAAATAGCAGGACCTTCCTTTACAGTGTGTGCTTGAATAGCCAACACCACTACACAGTGAGGGGAGGTGAACAATGAAAGCCTTATCCTGTGCAATCACTGAATCAGACTTGACTATACTAAAAGTAAAGGAAATTCAAGCTTGCCACAAACACCAGGGCTAGTCTAGGCCAAACCGAAGCCAGGCATCCAGTCTCTTCATTATTTATAAAACAAAACTATTTGGTGAAGTACAAAGGAGTCATAACAAAGTGTGTTGGTTTCCTCAAAACACAGAGGGTAAATCTGGGCAAATGACAAGGTGGAAACTTAAGAAAAATAATTTTTACAAAAAAAAATTAGACCTTGAAATTTAAAATTTTATTTTTGCTCACCTAAGAACAAACTATAGCAAAGGAAATTCGAAATTTTAAATAGGACTACAATTTATGAAGGATATTGATTTTAATAAGCTGCTCTTAAAGATAATTAAGGCAGTGCATGTAAAAGTAAATGTAAATACTAAACAAGTAGGTAGTCATAGTAAGTCTGGTAGCAAAAATCAGTATGTAGATTAAGAATAATTATGAGTCATAAGCTTATAACTTATACTTATGCCGATATAATTTAATGATTTATACATTTTTTTTTTAAATAATAATAATAATAATAATGGAAGTAACCGCTAATAAAAGTAAATACGAATAATGTGAAGCGTAATAAATGTACCGAGATTCAAACAAAGCACGACTAGAAAGTGACGCTTGCGATATACGTTGCCCCTGCTGGTCCAAAAAAAAAACGCCTTTTCCTTTTTTATTATTTCTTCTATATCCCCGCGTCTCCCCCCGGCTCCTTTGATCTTTCGTTCCCCAAAAAAATCCGACCTACCGTCATCTGAGACTGTGTTACTTGACTTTTCTGAGCCTGCAAAATTTGAAGTATTCTTGCCCTGAAATTAAAGAAATGTTACCTTTTTATAAAAGATTATATAAAAATATGACAAAATAGAAACTTTCCAAAATAAAATCCATGCTACGAAACCCCAGTGACCTCGAAAAAAGATCAAAGGCTGTGCATTTGTTTGAAGAGAGTAGTGCACTCACCTCTTCCGATTCAGTGACAAGGCCCAACTTTTCCTCGGTTAAATTTTCCGACGAACGCTTTTCCTCGTCTTTATTCCCTTCATCTTTGTAAACCTTCACCTCATCGGTAGAATAAAAATCCTCTGATCCTCCCGAACTCATGTGCGGCATAGTCATAAGTCCACCACAAAATTAATTTTTACACAGGATACAGACAGCCCTTAACACACGTTTCGAATCCGCCATGAATTCTAAGCAAAAGCAATCTAATAACACCCAATTACTGGCGAGCATCAAAGCAGTCGAGCCAATGAAATCGTTCCTTACAAGTTAGTCATGCGCCGTGGTCCAATTTTAGCAACTGTTTTCTCTCACGGTTCGAGGGTTGTTGTGTGTAGTTCTACGCTGCATTTATTATTATGCAATATTTATATTTAGGTAATAAAATCTAAAAATATGATATATATTTTCTTAAATATCCACTCGTTAAATATAAACCCAAAAGCACATAATTTTGAGATGAATAAAGAATGTGAACACCGGTAGAAAAAAATAGCACACTAGTGGTATCCAATATCGCCACACTGAGTGAAGGCGGACAACACGCGACACGCCACACGCTTCACTTAGAATCAAAGTAATCCGCGGGAAAGAAAACGAACACACATCAAACTGCAACAAAGCAATTTTATTTTGGTCTGAATAAATTCAGGCCAGGTAAGGAATTAGACGAGAATATTCGATTTTTACACCATATTTTTTTAAAGCAAAGTGGTACAGCCGATATAACGTGTTACCCCAACTCCAGTGAAAGCTGAACTGCACGTTTCCGTCTAGTGCCCTGTCGTGGCGCGCATTCTTGTTATGCGATTGAATTGGATGTTTTCAAGGGGGGTTCCTTTGATCTCGGCGCGCGGCACAATCTTCCACATCGCGGCCTGGACGAATGCTCGCTAGCCTAAAGGTCAAGAGGCGTGGGGTTGAAAACTCGTTGCTGCTGCGCGATTGCACCAGAAGTGACCGCCCAAATTGATTATAACCAAATTTTTATATTTTTACAATGGTCAGGTTAAGGAGGAATGAAAATAATTCAATTCTTTCAATCAATGTCTGCAATGATCGGGCGAATGCTTTTGAAGTTTACCAGCTCCATGTTATAAGGCCTACCACTACACACTACATGTTCTGCCACTGGATCTCAAACTGATAAGTTAAAAGAAAAAAAATTGTGTTATAATTTTAAATTAAATTAATTGGACATGATTTTGATTAATGTAATTGTCTATTATTGTAGAAAACTGTGTATGTGGCGTTATCAAGCATTTTTTTTTCTGGTTTTATGGAAGGATGAAAGATGATTAAAGTAGGCTGAAGGGAGCCAGGATTCTTTCTTGCTCCTGCCTATTCATTGTGCGAACATCGCTATTGATGGTCGGTTTTCAGTTTAAGAATTTTTATTATTTTTAATAATAAATATTCCCGAATGCAAAGTTATTATAATTATAATATGATCTGTTATACATTTTATATCTGATATCGCTGCTTACTTTTCACAACCACCCCTCCCCATACTCAAAATGTTGTGTTTTTTTTTTTTGTGTTTTTTTGGTTTTTTTTTTTGTTTTTTTGTTTTAAATTAATATTAATATTACTAAGTAATAAAAAAAAATATTTTTTAAATATAAAAAAACTATCAAGTAGTGAGCGTCATGTGTGACAATCTGTTATACATTTTATATCTGATATCGCTGCTTACTTTTCACAACCACCCCTCCCCATACTCAAAATGTTGTGTTTTTTTTTTTTTGTGTTTTTTTGGTTTTTTTTTTGTTTTTTTGTTTTAAATTAATATTAATATTACTAAGTAATAAAAAAAAATATTTTTTAAATATAAAAAAACTATCAAGTAGTGAGCGTCATGTGTGACGGTTGAACTAAGGTAAAAAGGTTGAATTTTAGTCAGAGGCGACTATTAGTTATATTAATCAATAACAAGCCACGGGTATGATGTAGGACTGCCTGTACTGTATGCCTATTGTTTAAATTTAAAGGCCGACAGGTAGGGTGTAGAACTTTCTATAGGCCTATTGTTTAAAAGCCGGCAGGTAGTGTGGGACTGTCTGTAGATTATTATTTAAAAACCGGTATACACTATAGAAAATGAGAAGATAACTTTTTTTTTTTTTTTAACACTTTGACCCACCGGGGATTCTCTCAAAATAAAGGTAAAAAATTTCACCCCGTTAAGCCCTCGGCCCTAGTATTTCATATCCTGCAGTCTTAAAACGGGACTTAAACATTGTACTATATTGCATAGGCACAGGGGTTGACGAACTTTTTTTATTTTTAGTGAAGGAGCAGAGGCGTCACTAGGCTTGGGGGCCAGGGACGTGCTGGCCCACGACGACGCGACGAGCATTCGTCATGGGCCTTTTTTGGGCAGTTAATACAATCTCCGGTGTGTGCGGGGGGGGGGGGGGGGGGGGGGGTTGCTCCGGGCCTTTCTTACTACACCGTTCGTCACGGGTGTCCATGTGCCTGCACGTCCCTGCTTGGGGCCACCCGGTGGGATGAACTCATGGTGTCACACCCTCCTTCCCGCCCACACACACACTTTTTCTGGACTCACCTCTACCCCGGCCTTGCACCGAGTAAATCGTATACAGATCACACAGAATCACTGAAAATATTAATTATTTATAAATTAAGCCCTAAATCAACAAGCATAAAAATAAAAACAATAAACATGGAATTTTACTTACCGTAACAGCCTTTCAAATATGCACACGCAAAACACTATGCCTCAATTGTATTGATACATTTAGCGCCTTACAGTTGAAAACGTTACTTTCCTGGTCGTTAAAGATGCAAACCTGCCAATCACACCAACAAAATCATCATTTTTTTCCATATCACTTTTAATTGGCAAAATCGCGCGGTCAGAAAGTCTGAAATCTTCCATAGTAATAGTCGAAAATAGAAAATGATCAATAATAGTTTTTAAAATATATTTTAAAAAAAAAAGTTTCCGTTTTGAAAACATTGCCCTGAAGCCAGAAACTGATCGAGATATACAGTTTTCAGCTTAATGATTGGGAGAGAATGTCAAATGGCCAATCTTTGCGTCGTCGAGACGAATATCTGCTGCTTTAAGATGCCTTCCCGGGCTTAATATTTCGATTGAAAAGTTCACTTGCAGATTACTCTTCATAGAAAGTAGTCGATTTGAGAATGGGCACCAATGATTCTTCTTCAGTCGCCACTCGTGGAATCCTACCCTGAACAGCCTAAAATATATTTGCCTCTTCTTGGTGACTTTTGATCTGATCTGGAGTTAAGGATAAAAACAATAAATACGCTTAATAATCACCATCATGTTTCCATCTTGCGGTTTTTTATTGTTTCCTTGACATTTTCTTCACCCCCAACCAGACTTCCGCATGAACCTATTCGGATTCTGACTAATCTGATGTGCTGACACCCTGCTCTCATTGCACACTGCCCTGTTGGTATCCTGCTCTAGTTTAATCCTGCGCCTTGGGCACCCTGTTCTGTTAGAAACCTACTCTAATGACACCCTGCTCTGTCTGGTGACACCCTGCTCTGTCTGGTGACACCCTGCTCTGTCTGGTGACACCCTGCTCTGTCTGGTGACACCCTGCTCTGTCTGGTGATACTTTGCTCTGTCTGGTGACATCCTGTTCTGGTGGTAATTTGCTATGGTAGCCAGGGCCACCATAAATTTCAAAAAAGTATATCAAACGTAATTTTATCCCCAAAAAATTTGGGCAGGGCCAAGTAGTTTGGCATCTAAAAGGCCGTGATCGTAGCCACCTAATCTGGTGGCATCGTGTTTTTGCAGCACTATTTTTCTTGTGGCGCCCTTTTCCGGTTGCACCCTGTTCTGTCTGCTACCTACTCTGATGGCACCCTGTTCTGTCTGCTACCTACTCTGATGGCACCCTGTTCTGTCTGCTACCTACTCTGATGGCACCCTGTTCTGTCTGCAACCTTCTCTGGTGGCACCCTGTTCTGTCTGCAACCTTCTCTGATGGCACCCTGTTTTGTCTGCCACTTACTCTGTCTGCAACCTACTCTGATGGCACCTTATTCAGTCTGCAACCTACTCTGATGGCACCTTATTCTGTCTGCAACCTACTCTGATGGCACCCGTTCTGTCTGCCACCTACTCTGATGGCACCCTGTTCTGGTGACACCCTACTATTTTGGCACATTGTTCTGATGACACTCTGTTCTGGTGCACCCTGTTCTGCTGGAATTTTGCTCTTGTGAGACCCTGCTCTGCAACTACTCTGCTCTGATGGCACTCTACTCTGATGGCACTCTACTCTGCTGTCACCCTGCTCTGCTCTTACCCTGCTCTAACACTCTGCTCTGGTGGCACATTTAGCTTTTGTGCAATGGACAAGCGAACTCTGTGAAACTTGCATTTTCTATTTGGTGTAACTACTGCAACCCTCCTTTGAGGGTTTTCCCCGATCCGGTCAGCAAAGACCCCTTTAGTGACGCCACCGTGAATACGCATTTTAATGTGTCCTGCTTTCTTTTCACAACAGCCCCCCCCCCATACTTAGCATGTTTTATATTAATACTAGTGACTCTTTATTGATTAATATAATACTGCAGCCCCCACCCCCTTAAGAAAATAAAACTCAACCTTTTTACTTGTGTTCAACCGTCACGCATGACGACGCTCACTGCTTTACAGCTTCTTTTTTTATTTTTATTTTTTTTTCATTTATTACTATTAATATAAAACATGTTGAGTTCGGGGGAGGGCCGGTTTTGAAAAGGAAGCAGCCAAACCACACGCCAAATATGTATAAGATAAGCAATTATGCGTACGGTATAAGAAATAATGTTACTGAATGAAACAAAAACTGTCACGCAGCGAGAGTCATGCTGGACGGTTGAACACGGGTCAAAAGTTGATTTTGTTTTCTTTATCAGGTGGAGATGACTATTACATTGGTCAACAAAGAGCTATGGGTATGGTTTAGGACTATCTGTAGGACTGTCGGTTTAGGACCATCTGTAGGACTGCCTGTAGGACTATTGTTTGAGTTAAAAGGCCGGGAGATAAGGTGTAGGATTGTCTGTATGAATATTATTTAAAGGCCGGCATGTAGGGTCTAAGGCCTATTGTTTATTCTAGAAAATAACGCTTTTTTTTTTTTGGTTGCCCTTGGACCCACCGGGTATTTCCTCATAATACCAGGACC